GTCTCCAGGCACCGGATCGCAGCCCAGGTATCCAGCCAGTGTGAATCCCTTCAGAGGGCCCCACTGTGTACTTACCTGGCGGCCTGCATTGGGCCCGTACCGTTACATGGCGCAGCTTTCACTTAGGGCCGGCATGAATTTGCTGGGCCACCCTGCTTTGGGCCTGCAAGCCCCCGCGGCCTCGGATAAATTTCCATCAAGAAATCAAATGATAGCCCGAAGAGTTGTTCGACGGTGAGTGTACTGGCTTCCCCCGAACACAATGCACCTTGATTTTAAGTGTATACGGGATGTCTTACACCTTGATTTTAAGTGTATACGGGATGTCTTTCCGGTCCGATACGGTCGTGATCAGGGTGCGTTATGTTGGGGGGAAGACGGTAGCACTTGGGCCAAAACTGTCAGCACTTGGGCCACGCCTTCGGAACAGCCCAAGGGATCGTGATTAGGCAGCAAATTTGGATTCCGATGGGCGGCAATCCAACCCTTGTCTTGGCTTTTATCCCTCTGCGCGAGCTATGAATCGAGATTCCTGTGCAATCTGGGTATCCGATCGAGCCCCGGTTTTTGGAGCAAAGCTGATGGATAATGTGACGATGTTGTCACCCTTCAAGAAGGAACAAGCGGATGGGTATCGGATTGAGCCCCGGGCCGCTAAAGGCAAACAACAGAGTATTGAGTTTTTCAAAAGCTTTTGGAGATCGGATTGCACTTGGAGACACACAGACACGAGGACTAATGAGATCAAATTTCCAGGGTGCAGGATTTGAGTGACGCAGGAAGGGGGGGGGGGGGGAAGCACCTATTGTACATGTTGCAATCAAAAGAATCGTGAGAGCTTGAAGAAGAAGGCGGGGATGCTCTGCTTCCGATCCCACAATCAGACAATTCGGGACTACTCCCTCTTTCAGCGGCGACAAACGGACGGAGATGGCAGGGATAGGGATAAAAGGCGCACTGCGGAGGATCGACGCGTGCACATCCTGTGATAGGATGGTGACCGTAGCAATGATCGACTTATGGAAAGAGCTGAGAAGGCGAGGCTTCCTCCCCCGGTTGTCTCCAGGGCGCGCGTCTGAAGGGCACGCGGCCTGGGGCGCCCTCAGCAACCGTCGGGCCCCTGAAATGGGGCCTGTGTGCAGGCTCAGCATGTAACAGGCTTCCTCCCCCGGTTGTCATAGGGGGGAAAGAACAGCACGTCACAACTTGGTGAGAAAAAGGAATGCAAATGAAGTATGAGACGTGGGCAACGGTGTCCAAAACTCTCTCCAGCATGATGAATGAGGGGGAGATTAAGGGGGCTGGAGCGGCATGCAAACCGTGTGTGTTGCAACTAACTTCTCTCTGGCGGAGAGAAGGAAGAAGAGGAACGGTGGGGGTGTGTATGCTCTGAACAGGTTGTTCAAAAACTGGTCGTTTGGCCCGACAACGATCTTTGGAACCGGTCTCTTGATTCGAGACTCGATTCCCTGCCTTGTAACGGCATGTAGAACCTACCTTCTCCTTCGAGGAGTCGTGACTTGTTTTTTTGCTCTGAAAATGACGGAGTCTGGCGTGTATAAGGTGGAGGTACAGAGGGCGGTTTTCTAAAAAAGATAGTTTCTTTTCCTTTTTTCTCGGTTTGCGGCCCGATAAGGGCATGGAGAACATACCTTGTATTTTGAGGATTCGCTATCAAAAGGGCTAGGTACAGAGGGTGTTTCAAAAAAAGATCGGTTCCTTCCTTGTCCTTCGAATCAAGTATCGGGCAGGAGAATAGGACCAGATGAATTACCCTCGATCATGTATTTCATATGGGTACTCATGAAGTAGTCCGGGGAAACAGATAGCACTCGGATAATTGTTGGGACTTTTTTTTTTTTCCTTTTTTTGGGGGGGGCTATTATTTTTATTTATTTGTAAGCTTAGTGCAAGGAAAATGAGTGATAGCGAAATGACAGAATTCCAGATTGCAAATCACATCGAAAGCCAGATAGTCGAACGCTGTTCAGGAAGCAGAATTGCACTGATATTACACCGAAGGAGAACCAAAGCATCGAGCTCAATTGTCAATGAAAGCATATACTCGCCATTACCAACATTGCAATCGTAGCTCTTCCTCCTCCTGGCGCTCAGCGCCCAGACTACTATCCTACAGCTACTCTACTAGTAACGAAATGACAAGCAACTTGTTGACGTCATCAGCAGCAACCGAAGTACATGCAGATGTCGACCATGCAGACCATCGTCAAGACCAGGTATGTGCCTTCACGGCATCATCTTCATCTCTCCCGCACCGCTCACCCTCGTCTTCTTCACCCACGTCTTCTTCCTCTTCCACGAAGACCGCCACCACCTCCGCTGACCTTCTCCAAGCCCCAGCCAGGCTACGACAGCTGGGCTACGGCACTACCTGAAAGCAGCGCCCTCTCTTCTCGCGACCGTGCACACGCACAAGCACTGGCCCCTGCGCACAGCAGGCAGGCCGCGAACGCATGCTCCAGCAGCGCTGCCGCTTGCACAAGAAAGTGCCCGAATGCCGAGCGAGTAGCCCAGCACTTTCCTAAATGGAAAGTGGCGGGCTCGCTGCCTGCCGCCTGCCTCGTGGGAGCGAGTTTCCAGTAGCTTCACTCTTGGCCAAAGTGTCTGCGCCCGGGCCCGTTCAGACAGTGGCCTGGGACCCAATCAGTTAGGCATGCCCAACCACCCAGGCTCAAACGTGCGGTGTTCCCTGCTTTCACCACGTTGCTGGAAGAGCCTGGAAGGCTCACAAATATTTCAGATTCTCACGAGCAAAGCGGAGGTAACCAACTGGTGCGTGGCAAATGTCTGGCGCCCACCAGGATTTGCAAAAATTGACGAATCCTGGGCTCATGGGCATTCAGGGGCCCACCTTCACTTAGGGCGGGCACGCGTCCGTTGCTGGGGCCTCATGCATTTATGCCGAGGGGTAAAACACTTGCATCAGCAGTTTTGGACTGATATTGAAGGCCTGGCCGCAGGTTAGATTTTGGGGGCCAGGTTACCAGTAACTCGAGGAAAGGACACTTGGCCTGTTGGAAACTGGGTAGGCCGATAGTTGGGTCGCTCAGAGGGCGGTGCCAGCGCGGGCAGGATGTCGCGTAGCGAAAAGCGGATATAATCCCGTGATGTCTCTACAGTCGTCCTTTTCGACGAGTCGCGTTAAGCGAGAAGTGTAGGGAAGAAGGGAAGCCCCCTGATGAGGACCGCGCGGTGGCGGTCAAAACGCGGCGTCGGGGTAGCCGCTGAGGGAAGGTATAAGGGATGCTATTGAAAATCTGTTTTTGGGTCGAATGGACAATCTGATGTGACTGGTACTTCTTCTGAGTATACCTCACACCTGGTATGAATGGTGCTTTCAAGACGTGTGATTTATGTGCTTTGAGTGCGACTGCGGACATGAGGTCTCTGATGTGACTTCACCGTTGTCTAATTGCATGCTCACACCGTTTCTGAGTGATACTGTGACGAGGAGTGCGAGATGTGTTTGGAGCGGAATGGCTGTGTGAGAACTAGACTTGCTAACTATATACTATGTGAATGCGATCTTTGCTATCTGGCAAAAATTCTGCATGCATGCTATGTTGCGCATTTCATCTCCAACTACTACAACTAAAGTGTGCCAACCTTATAGAAGAGTTCATAAATTTTGCCAGCCATATATCTTGTTGTCCATAGTACTCCATACAGTGCACGGCCCAGACCGTGCATGGCATATATAGCCAATTGGCCCTTTTAAATTTTAAATTTTTAATACACTTTCAGCCTTAATGAGCAGCAGGCATGCATCAACTCTGGCGGTTTTGCAACGGGTTCCCAGCCTCATGGTTTTCAAACAATTAAAGCTTTGTTTGTTCAAAAGGAAAAGAGGCAGCAAGCAAGTCTTCTGGTGACCTGACTTGTCTTTCTTCCTTCGTCTGTCGATGCCTGTTTGTCCTCCTCTGAACACGCTGTGTGCAATTATGCTACCCCTGTCGGCTTGGGGATGAATCGTCGTCACTACTTGTGGACGGTATGCCCTGTGTTCAGCCACATCAAGATGGGCCGTTGTATTTCCCGGTGGTCGCGATAATCTCTCTCGGATCGCCTGCGATGATGCATTTCACGCCGCATTTGCGCCTTCTGGGTCACGGCCAGGATCAGCCCGACAATGGTAGCCGATGCCGTGTGGACATTGTTGATGGCCGCGGTCATCGCGGTACCTCGAGAACCGCAGACGAGTCTGTAAGCGGACTCGGTGGCATGGGCTCTGCTCCCACAATGCATGTGGACGGTGTTTTACGGACAAGTTCACTTGAAAGTCCAGGAGCATATCGGGTTCATGTGGACGATGATGCGAAAAAAACTCAAGCAGGGCGTAATGGTGAAACCGGGAACAAAACAGGAGCACAGGGTGATGATAAGCGTAGTGACAGCATGAAGCAGCAGGAGGACGTGGCGAGTCTGCACAGCAAAACTGCTCAGGCGTCATCGGCGGTTGGTCTGCTGCCACGTAGCTTGCTTATCTTTAAGGACGCAGCCTATGAAGGTGATATTTTCTTTCTTTCTTTCTCTCTTTCTTTCTTTCTTTCTATACATAGGTTTATCATCTTGTCCCTGGGGCCTGGGGACATCCATAAAAAGCCGAACGATACAGAGAAGCGTAATTAGTACTAATTACTAATTTTACTAATTATTACTAATGACTAATGACTAATTAGCAAATGGCCCCTGCGCAAGGATGCCACGCATAAATTGAGAAATGGTCCAAGAGGGGTGTTAACAAGCATCCAGTCAAGCATCTGGTTTGTGCATTGCATTTTCAACAACCAGATGCAGAATCAAATCCCACCGTGAACAAAACTCGAGCAGCCCAATAACTTGAACATCTTAAAAAGAAAAGAAAAACAATTGTGCACGAGCATGGGTCGACCCAATGCAGGCATGGAATTTCATAAATGATTTTATATCACATTCTGAGTGTTTCCTTTTTCTCCATTTTTTCGGATACTTTTTCTCTGTTATTTTTCAGATGTTCTTATGTGAGAGAAAAAACAAGACTGACCTGGAGGGAGATCCCACTAACGATGTATGTGGAGTAGTCTGACGGTTACGGGACGTGCGGGCGACATCCGTGTGGCATCCTTTACTCCCCGATAAATGTTGAAAAAAAACAAAATGCCGCAATTCTGACAACGCAATGTTGTCCACCCGCCGCGAACTGCGGTCAGCTGTCAGGTTGTGGACCTTCTGATGATTCCGCTGGTATGTTGTGCATGTGGACGGTTCATGGACCATGTACATGAGGCCAACACACATTTGTTAACGTTCCCCAACGAGAGGCTCGGAATGACAGACAAGTTGTGGAAGACTCTGACATCAACTGACATCCCTTCATGATGAGAAAAGGGGAACATTTTCATTTTCGGCCTCTTTTGAACGCATGGGCAACGACGCAAACGTAAGTGGAAGGTGTGTGAACATCCAACCAAAAAAAGTTGGTATGATTTTCACGCACGTTCATGACCCCCAGAGGAGCACCACAACAAAAGCAAAAGACATGCCACCCAATGGGAGCCCCCCAAAAGTCGTATGTTTCCCCACGCCGAAAACCAAGAAAAACAACACCACTGATCACCGTTCTTATCAACGGAGCCGAAGGGTCACACGCCCTATCCGCTACTCCACATACATCAGTAGTGGGATCTCCCTCCTGGTATGTGTCATGGATCCTATGTTTGGAATTTGGCACTTGGCACTTGGGACATGGAACCTGGTGCTTGGAACTTGGAACATGGAACCTGGTACTTGGAACATGGAACCTGGTACTTGGAACTTGGAACATGGAACCTGGTACTTGGAACTTTGAACATGGGACCTGGTACTTGGAACTTGGAACTTGGAGCCTGGTACTTGGAGCTTGTAACCTGGTACTTGGAACATGGAACCTGGTACTTGGAACATGGAACCTGGTACTTGGAACATGGAACATGGAACATGGAACCTGGTACTTGGGACTTGGAACATGGAACCTGGTACTTGGAATTTGGAACTTGGAGCCTGGTACTTGGAACTTGGAACCTGGTACTTGGAACATGGAACCTGGTACTTGGAACATGGAACCTGGTCCTTGGAACTTGGAACTTGGTACTTAGAAATTTGTGTTCGGAGTTGTTACTTTGGACCTGGGATTTCCTGTACTACCGTCTTCACACGAAAATAACGCCTGGCGTTACATTCAGCTTACCCTAAAAAAAAATTCAGATTTTTGTTTTTACCCACTTTTTTTTTTAATAGAACGGTGGTTGTTCGAATAGAACGCCCGGGCGTTCTATTCGAATAGAACGCTGGGCATTATATTTGAATGTTTGAATGTTCTATGGGCAGAGTGCCTTGTAAAGGGGGTATACATGGGTTTTAAAGGGGGGGCGGAAAGGGGGTATAGTATACATGGTTTTTAAAGGGGGTTGAAAGGGGTTTTGACTTCCGCGGGGTATAATGGTAGTATATTTTGGTTCGAGTTTTTTGTTTTCTTTTTTTATTTCCGAATCTATAAGGTATTTTGAAGTGACCCTCAGCCAAAAGTTGGTTGCATTGCTATTCTAGACAAAATATTTTTTTTTGCAGAATTTTCAATTTTTTTATTTTTTTTGAAGGGGGGATTTTGGGGCCCCACTGAAGTTGCCACCAATCTACTGAATATAACACCCGGGCGTCATAAACATCCGGGCGTTATTTTCGGAAGAAGACCATAGTGCACACATTTCGAAACCCGTGGAGCACCGCAGCAATTCACCCCTGCAAAAAGGTGAAATTGATATTCACGGTAAGGGACGAGGGTACTTCTTCTTTAATGATTTTTTTGTGTGTGTGTGTTTGTTTGTTGTTGAATACACTTCAGTGACTGAACAACTCTTGGCTTAGCAAATTAAGCTGTTTCTAGATGCTGGCAGTTATTTGTCCTCCCCCGACCTTCCCCCCCCCCCCCCCCCCCCCCCCCCCCCCCCCTCTCGCTCTCTCTCCCTCTCTCTCTCTCTCTCTCTCTCTCTCTCTCTCTCTCTCTCTCTCTCTCTCTCTCTCTCTCTCTCTCTCTCTCTGTGCTGCTCCTCTTCAACTCAGCCCTCAGTTCTCCACTGTTTCTTTGGCTCCATTGCTTGTCCCCCATTGTTGGCTGACCCCAATCCATGACCCGTCCTGCTTTGCGCACTCATGAGCATGCCCAGTAGCACTGATTGTTTTTCTGACAGTGAAGCAGGATGGCCATAGCCTAGGTCTAAGCTCATGCCCCATAGGTAGGACCACAGTCTGCTATCGCATACGCAGGTTCCCTACCCTTTCGCTCGGGGGTGCATAATTGCAGACCGTTGTCCTACCTACAGGACGTAAGCCTACGGTAGTCCTGGTACCCTGAGTGCCTACCTGCTGTCTGGCAGGACTGTCGCTTTTCTGGGTTGCAGGTAAATCTCTACCAGGTCCCTCACGAACTGTTCTTTTGTTCCTTTCCGTAATCTAATTCCTCTCCTAAGTCCATCCATTGTCCAAATTTCAAGTATGTCCTTGTAAGCGATGCCTTTTTACTGTACGGGTCCTCTTGGGGCAGAGAAACGCAACATGAAAGCAGAGTTCGCACACGGACCCTGATGCAGCAAACATCACAGGCTAGAGTCCTATGCCTTCTTTTTTCTTTTCTTTGTTCTATAACAACAGGTCCTTATGCTCCTGGCTCCATATCCGCTCCCCAGGACCCTGAGTTAGCAAACATCACAGGCCAGGGTCCTATGCCCTTTTTTTTCTTTCTTGTATAAGAACAGCTCCTTATGGTCCTGGCTCAAATCCACTGTGGGGAGCGTCAGTCCGCTTCTTATTCCACCGGCAAGTCGGAATGAACTTCAATGAAGTAATACATCATGAACACCCTCACGCTTCCTTCCGTCTGGCCGAAGGACCCCTGACCAGCATTCATTGCTCTCTCTCTCTCTCTCTGATATAGGAGAATTGACTGTCAGCTTTTGCCTTTCGTCTACCTTTCCTCTCGGGTCCATTGTCTGAACGGCAAATCCCAGATTTGGCTGAAGGACAAGCAAGATAAGAAAACCAGGCATCTTGCAATCTGAGATTTGCCGTTGAATGGGTCCTATGCCATTGTTGTTACCTTCTTTTCCTTTTTTTTTTTTTTTTTTTCCTTTTAATTAAAAAAAATTGGACCATTTCTCGATTTATGTGTGTCATCCTTGAAAGCGCAGGGGCCATGCTAATCTTTCTTCTCTGTATCGTTCCAATTTTAACAGATGTCCCGAAGGACTTTTCCTTTTTTTCCAATCTGTGACAAGCGTGAGGAATAGACTGATCTTCTCACGGGATATCGGAGCTCTCCGACAAAAAAAGTTGGGACATTTGTTTGGTGCAGATGTCATCATCACAAAAAAAATAGAGTCAAGTGCACACAGACAACACAGCACGACACTCAGAAATATTTCTCGGCAAATCAGACGAATACACACCAGTTTCTGGGAAACATACAGAACAGAAATGTCAGACTGTAACTCTGCAGGTCATTGCAGCCTTGACTGGGATTTTTTTTATTTATTTTTTTTTAACTAACTTATATTCTTTTCTCAATTTGAATTTTGACCTTTTTCACTTTTGCGTGACTGGCTAGGCTACCCAGAGAGGCACGGGACCGCTTGCCCAGTCTGGCCAAAAAAAAAAAAAAAAAAAAATTAAAAAAAAAAAATAATAATAAATTTTAATTTTAATTTTTAAAATTTGGTAGCGAATTTCGATGTGACCCTGAGGCAAAAGTTGTTCAGTTTATTTTTCTGCATAACATAATTTTTTTCAGACTTTTTTGTTTTTGTTTGTTTGCTTTGTTTTGTTTTGCTGGGACCTTCTTTGGTCCTTGCATGGCTGGGCCGCCCGGGCAACAAGGTGAGCCTGCCCCCCCGGGCGGCCCGGCTGGTGGACTGGATGATTGGTCTATAGTATTTGACTTAAATTCGAGACTGATGTGGTGAATGATGTCGTTCGTTTTGCTTTGTGTTGATTGGTCGTCGGTCGATATTCGGTTGCTGGATTTGTTCTGTGGCATCACGGCAATGGGAAACTTTCAGAGTACCTTCATGGTATTATGGAATGCTCAGCCGATGTAGTCGACACCTCGGTGAGTCATCTGATGAGCAGTGTCGTGTTTTCGTGTATGCGTCTATCCGTGCATGTATTTATGTATGTATATGTGCATGTGTATACTATGCATGCATGTATTTATGTATGTATGTATATATGTATGTGTCAGACTAGGTGTGCATGTATTATTTCTGTATGTGGACGTGTATGTGACACTATTTGTGAATGTGTCCGTGCGTGATTGTGGGTGGATGTCTGCGTGCGCCGTGCGTGTGTGGGTGGATGTCTGCGTTCATGTGTCAGTGGAAACTCAAGTAAGGATCAAATATTGCCCATTTTGGGCATCTCATTCGCCTCGATGAGATATATACCGAACGCACTGCCATCAAAGAGTGGGCTTACTATATTTAATATTTATATAGATACCAATTGCAGTATGTAATAAAATCAAGGCTGTTTTTCCGGGCGCCCGGGCACCCAACTTCTGGCCGGGTACATGCCCGGGTGCCCGGCCGGGCATGACCCCCGGGCAGGGTTCCGGGCAGCCCCAGCGCAAAAAAAAATAAAAAAAAAAAAAAAAATTCCGGGAAACAAATATGTTGTGTAGAATTGAAATACAAACGACTTTTGGCTGAGTGAAATCACACTTCTGATTATTCAACTTGTCATATATGCAAACAGCGAAACAGCAACTGGCGACATGCGCCCACACAATACTCAAGATATCGT